CAAAACCAACTCAGAAGTAAAACAGAGGAGACAGAAATAACATAGACATAACACTGAAGACAGATAAAAAGTGGCTATGACTGTATTCCATATGTTCAAGAAATTAAGGAAAAGATGCAGCATATTAAGTAGAAACATGAAGATTAAAAAGGTTCAAACTGAACTATTACAGGTTATTTGTGCCTTGCTCATTTTTAATAAGGATATGGCTCAATTACTCAATTTCTGTTTCCTTCTCTCTGAAATGCAGGTGAGGAGAAAAAAGAAGAGTTGGGTTGTGGCAAAGATGAAAAGATACATAGCGCTGAGGCACACTTAAATTTAAATATTGGAAACATAGGAAGTGACACTACTAGACAAGGAGGAGAGTGGAAGAAGTGGCATTGCTAGAAAAGAGGCAAAAAAGGATCATAATTAATCTTTAATATGCAAATAAAGAGTACTGGAAGCAGAAATGTTTGAGATGAATAACATATTGTATGGAATTAGTGACAGATCAGAAATAAAATAATAATATTAGAGAAATGGAAGATGTTGCAATAGATAGTAACCACAATGAAACACAGACAAAAGACAAAAAAAAAAAAAGTAAGTAGAACATCAGTAAACTGGAAAAACTCCAGATGGCCGAAAATGTATAGAAGTCCCCAACAAAAAAGAAGAAACAAACAAAAAAAAAATTGTTTGTAAAAATGGCTAATATTTTTCCAAAGTTTATGAAACTGTAACCCAACAGATATTAAAAAGGGCAACAAATTAATAGAACAAGAAATACAAAAAAAAAACTATACAAACACATATTTAAAAATGCTTTAAATGAGTGATAAAGGAAAAATCTTAAGCACAGTGAAGGGAAAATTTATCAGATATGATTATTTTACATCAAACATATTGTAATGCAAGAATACAGGAATATCTATAAAAGTGCTGAATGCAAAATAAAATGCTGAACTGGAATGCTATATACAGCAAAAATATCTTTCAAAAACAACATACAAACACTTCCACTTTTACAAAAAAAAACTTCAAAGAAAAGGCCTCCATTGTAAGAAATGTTAAAGGAAGTCCTTCAAGCAAAAGGAAAATACCAGTTGGAAATTGTATCTACTCCTCAAAGATGATGAGTACTATTAAGTGCAACTCAATGGGTAAGTATACTTATGTTCTAAAAAATTAAAATAATCAGCTATTATTAAAAGATAAACATCTATTTATAGCAAGAGAATTTAAAGGTTTGATAATAGCACAAAAGAGGGAGAAATGGACATATACTATTAAAAAAATTTTATTACAGCGGCCCTCCCTTGTGGCGCGGCGGGTTAAAGCACAGCACTGAGAAGCTTAAGCCATTTCCGCATGAGTTCGATTCCCGCCTGCCCCGGAGGTGACCACATGGCGTGGCAGACTTTCCTGACCCGCCCGCTGCTCCCCTCAGCAGTGTACTTCGTTGATCTGCCTGTTCTGCTCCCTTCTCTGTCTCTGGTGAATCCTCTCACCCTCCGCATCTCAGGCCTGTACCTCAGTTCTATATGAATAAATAAATAAATCTTTAAAAAAAAAATTTTATTACAGCAACACTGATATAAAGACATTCTTCAAAAAAATTTAGCAAACTTCTTCCAATAATATAAAAATAATATATAAAAACCAGAAATATAAATTTTTTATTAATTTAAAACATTTTTATATCTTAACACATTTCAGCACATTATCAAACTGGGAAGAAAAAGCAATATATCAAAAATTTCAGTAAATCATCTAAACATAGAAAGCATAGAACTTAACAAAATGCAACATTAATTCATGAAAAAAAAAGGTTCAACTGAGAATAGAAGGGGATTTTTAAGCTCACAGAATATATCAATAAAAAAACCCACAGCTAACACCCAAATTAATTGTTAAAGACTAAATGCTTTTCCCATAAGATCAGGAAGACATAATATCTCAATATTTATGTTCAGTTTTATACTAGAGGTTCTGACCATTGCAAAAGCCAAGAAAAATAAACAAATGGTATCCAAATTGGAACAGGACAGACAAAATTCTATTTGTGTTTACACATGACATGACTACCTATGTAAGAAGTTTAATAAAAACCATAAATAAGTTTAGGAAGGTAAAAGTGATTAGATTAATACACGTGGTAACACTGAACAGTGGGGAACTGAAATTTAGAAAAATATATTTATAAAGAATCAAAAAAGATAAAATATACATAAATCTGAAAGATCAGCAGAATGAAAACAGCCTACTCAGAAAAATTAAATTATATTATGAATTGATGACCAATACTGTTAAGATATATTTTCCTAAAATTTACCTATATATTGAATTTATTCCTAACAATTTCACTATCTTTTTTCTATAAATTGACAACATAATTATAAAATCCAAAGGAAAACATGTAGGAATTAAAAACAATTTTGCAATAAAAGAACAAAGTGAAATTTTATTCCCTGACTTTGATTTTAAGATTATGAAGCAATCATAATTAAATTGTATGTTAGTGGTGTCATAGTAGCCAAAGATGAATGATACAGAAGAATGTGTGCAGGATGCAATTCGCATGGTCAGTTAATTTCAAACAAAAATGCAAAGGCAATTTATTTGAGAGAGTTTTTACTGCCTATTCTGCTCCCTAGTCTGTCTCTGATGAATCTTCTCACCCCCTGCACCTCTGGCCTATACCCCAGTTCTGTAGGCATAAATAATCTTTGGGAAAAAAATGAACTTTGGTGTTTGTGTTGTCCCATATACAAATTTTCCATATACAAATTACCCATATACAAACTAAAAATTGGATCCACCTAAATATAAAACTTTAAACTATAACACAAGAAAAATCATTTGCAACTCTGTTACAGGTAAAGACTTTTTTAGATATGATACCAAAAGCACAATGCTATAAATTAAAAACTTCTATACTGGAATTTACTTTTAGGTATAACAAATTATGGCTTTTCAGTGCTTAAAGGAAAGACTAAATAAATAAATAAAAATAAAGGAAAGAATGATTTACTTGGAGCTCCAACCACTGTTTAATTGTTATCTCTTGATATTTCCTCCAGGAAAGGTGATGCTATAGACTTAAAACCACTCCCAATCTTCATCACTTTTCCCTAGTCCCTTTTCTTACCCAAAATTCTTTCCTGATTTCCTAATTATCTAAACACTTGTCAATTTTCCCTCACCAAAACATTTGGCACTTCAGTGTCTACACTGGTGATTCCTCCACTGACACAATGTAATAAATCCTCAGTCTTCTTACCAATGATTACACTTTCCTTTTACTACCTTACATTCCTAAGAGCATAATTTTAGTTTAACATAAATTCCCCCCCCCAAAAAAAACAATCAAATGCAGCAAAGTATAAATGCACAGCAACAAAGAAAAAGTTGAAACTGAAATATTCTGTAAAAGGAAAGTCAAGAAGAAAAGGTCAATTCATTAAATAAGACAAATCCAATACAGCTTGGGAAGTGGGGAAACCAAATGAAGGAGTAGAGAGAATGCGGAAATAGAATTAATTTAGAGTCTACATAAATAACAGGGAGAATTCTAGTTACCATTTTTCAGCCCTCAAACAGGCAACTATTCCTCCATCATTACAGAAGAAAACAAGAAGGAGAAATGAATCAAAGAATCTTTACACAAAGAGAACACCAGGCAAATCACCAGAAACCAGAGAATTAGCACTCTAGTTTCCATATCTCACTCAAAATAACAGAGTTGGCAAATAAAATTTGAGTTTTAGATAAACAATAAGCAATCTTTATTTTATTATATCTCAAATACTGGGTGTATGTTTAAAGGGTAGCCTATATTTTTATTTGCTGTATTGGCAACCCTATCTCAAACTTGAGACTAGAAATTTCCTTTTTGGGATAACTTGGCTGGCCCGGGAAAAAAATAAAAGTGATTAATATTAAGAATTTTCAAACAAAATCCCAGAATCTCACCTAGTCGTACATGCCACACAAATAGACAGTTTCTTCTAAAACTTACTAAATTCCTAACACTAGTAAATGAAAGAAACACACAGTATTTTCTTAACTTTCAAATAAACCTGGCTGGACTTTTTATACTTTGTTTTTGTTGTTGTTTTTATGCATACAGAACTGAGATACAAGCCAGAGGAGGAGGGGTGGTAAGTGGACTCACCAGAGACAGGCAGACTGATGAAGTACACTGCTGAGGGGAGCAGTGGGCAAGACAGAAGTCTGCCAAGCCATGTGGGTCACCTCCTGGCCAGGTATTTAACTAGTGCTAAAACGACTGCAGTTAGCTTTTGAAGTGCTGTATTTTAACCCCTTGCAGCACCAGAAGGACCCCTTTTTATACTTTAAATAAATTATCGTAAACTGAAATTTTTAAGTAAAACAGTGGAAATAAAGCAAAAATCCACTAACTATAATGTATGTAATGTTTCATCTTTACTACCTTCAAAGAACAGTTAACTGTAATTTTAGACCTTTGTGTTTCGGCCCTTATTTTAAAATTTTATATATTTGTATAATCTTGGACTTAAAATTCATACACTATCCAGTGACTTTTTAAATGGCTAAATGTCAAAATACTTGTGTTTTAGTAATGAAATGAGAACAAAGAACAGCTACATAGTAAAATAATCCATACTAATGATCCAGAGAGGAATTCAGGAGAAGGTACATTATAGTGAAAATATATGTCTTAAATAGAAAATAGCAGAGCTCACAGGACACAAAGAAGGTAATAAATAAAATTTGTATCAATACTTAACAAACCTAATTATTTCTGTTAAAAAAATTTTTTTTCAAAGCTCAAAAAATTTCATGCCTGTGATTTTAAATATCATTTATAATTTGTGAAACTTTCCCCTTGAGATTCCTGTAATCAACAGGATTTTGGAACCACAGCCTTAAAATGCTGACTGAGGTATACTAATTCAACAGTATGATCTATTTCCCTTAAGCCCAATTATGATGCTATATATAATAAATGATGAAATTATTATTCTTACCTTGGATACATTGCTAACATAATTCACTTGGATAGTACTTTCCTTGTCAACTTGATTACAAAGGTTCTGTAAAGTAGATGCATATTCTTTATCACTTTTTATTCTGAGGGCCATAAATTTCTTCACTGATTCCAGTAACCGTAATTCCCAGTCTTGCAATTTTAATACAGCTTCATGTGAATTCTTCAAGTCACTCCCAAACCCCATTTTGGTAAGGCACTGTCTTATCCTCCACACTGAACAAGTGAGCCTTCTAATCAGCACATATCTGTATATGTAAACAGAAGAAAAAATAATCTTAACTCAAAAGGAAACTAGTCTTCTAAGCAAAGTTATGCCCATTCCCCTTAGGGTAAAAATATCCTACAACAAATGATTTTTCCCTAAATATCAGGATCAACTTTGTATTAGAGATTCTAGCCAGTAAAATGAAAGGAGACATAAAGATTAGAAAGGAAGAAAAAAAACACAATTTTTCATTTGCAGATTATATGACATTGTACATGCAAAATTCTAAGGATGAAACAAAAAGTATCATAATTAATAAATGAGGCAGTAAGATGATAGGGTATAAGACCAAAATCACTTGTTTTAACATATAATAGCAATGGTCAATTCAAAACTGAAATTTAACGGTTCTGTTTACAACCTCATAAGGAATAAATTTTAAAAATCAAATACAGAACTTGTACTCTTAAAATCACAAAGCATTGTCTAAATAAATTAAAGACCTAAATAAATAGAAAGATTAATATTCAAAGATCCAAAAGACAAAATATTAAGAAATAATCAGTAGTCTCCAATTTGATCTAAGATTTAATTCAATCTATGTTAACATGTAAATAACTTTTAGACAGAAAATTTCACCAAATTTATACAGAAATGGAAGAGGACCAGAATAAACAAAGGGAAAAAGAAAAGAACGAAGTTGGAGGACTCGTACTTCTTGACTTCAAAATATACTGAAAATATACAATAATCAAAACAATATGGTATTGGCATTTGAGTAAACACAAAATAGAGTCCATAGATAGATGTTTACATTTATGGTTAAATGATTTTCTATATGTGTACCAAGTTAGTCAATGGAGTAAAGGGAATAGAATTTTAACTGGTTGGGACAACAGGATTTCCAAAACAAAGTTATGAAGCAGGATGATTTCTCTGTGCCATTCCCCCCAAAAAAAAAAAATTAATTCTAAATGAAAATATAAAAACCAGAGCTTTTAACAAAAAAACTCACAGGAGAAATAATATTTGAAATCTTATATCAGATAAGAGTATCTTAAATACAACACCAAAAGCACAATCAACAAAGTAAAAATAGATAATTAGATTTTATCAAACTTTAAAATTCTGTTCTTCAAAGGACACCATCAAGAAAGTAAAAAGGCTGAAAACAAAAAAGTTGAAGTTCTTTCATTGCCTTAGCATTCTGTTCTTTGGAGTGATGTATTTAATTTTGTAGATAAAAATGGCAGTGGTTATAGAGCAAATGGTTTTAAGAGAAATTAATAGAAATAATCATTTTGAGGAAGTCTTGGCAAAATGAAATACAAAACATTGTTTTTGGAATCTTCATCATCATATCTGATGAAGTCTGAGTGGTTATAATTTCTCTAAGTCTAATGACTCATTTCATTGTAAGGACATGCTATATAGCTCTGCCATCTCAGACACTAGAAGCCTAAAAAGATGATTATTATCTGTGCTGAATGTATCCTGGTAAAAACACTGGAAATATTAACATTGATAAATGTCTGCTAATATGCCAGAATTCTCCAACCATATTTATAAACCAAGCAATACTTCTAAAAAGCATGACCACAAAAATCATACTTGTTCTTATCCTATAGAAGACACACTGCTAATTACATAGACTCATCAGCCTAACAATGATAACCTTAAAAATTCCACCAAAGAGATCACTTTCTTTCACTTATGTTAATCAAGTCAAGTTAAGGAGGAAAATAAGTCAATAGATGACAGAGTTCATTGGGCACTGGAAAAAAAATGAAAATTTTGGAGAATCCTCCCCTCCTAACTGTCCTATCCAAAGGGCAATGATCACTTAAGGGCAATGTAAACACAAATATGTCTGGAAAGTAACATAATAGGCTAGAAAACCCAAAACCTGTGCATAAGACAAACATACATTTCTGAACCATCTTTTTCTAAAACATTATCTGTTAAAGATTATTGTCAAAATGGTCATCTACAGAGTCAATGCAATCCAAATAAAGATATCAATGGCATTTTTCAAAGACATGGAGCAAATACTATTCAAATTTATATGGAATCACAAAGACCCTAAATAACAAAAGCAATCTTAACTAAAACAAGAGAATGAAGGTTTCACACTTCCATACCTCAACTTGTATTATAAAGCCATAGTAATTAGAAGAGTCTGGTGTAGAAACCAAAATGGACAAAAGACCAATGGAACAGGTGTGAGAGTCAAAAAGCAATGCCAACATCTATATCGAAAGTTAATCTACAACAGAGGCATTAAGAATATATGTTGGGTTGGTGAAAGGAAAGCCTCTTCAATAAAAAGGTGCTGGGAAATTTGTAGTCACACACAAACCATTGAAACTAGACCACTAACTCACACCATACAGAAAAATCTATTCAAAATGAATAAAAAACTTAGATTTAAGACCTGTATCATAAAAAATTGAAGAAAACATAGGCAAAACATTTCATAACATAAGCTTTCCTGAGACCATTAGGAATTCATCCCTAATAGCAAGGGGAAAAAAGGAGCTACATGAAATTGAAAAACTCCTGAACAATGAAAGAAACCACAACTAGAACAAAAAGACACAGAATTAAGTGGGAGAAAATATTTGCACACCATAAATATGATAAATAACTGATATTAAAGATATACAAATAACTCATAAAATTTTAACAAAACAAAACAAATAACCTCGTCAAAATATAGGCAGAACTAAATGACACCTTTCCAACGATGACATAAGACTGCAAACAGGCACATGAGAAATGTTCACCATCATTTATTATTAGAGAAAAGCAAATCAAAATCATAATGCAGGTAATATTTGAGAATTTTAATATTTTGGGATCAGATCATTTTCTAGATTTTAGTTTTGGGATTAGCTCAAACTAGTAAAAATTATGAGGCTAGTGGTTGATTACTTTATGAAATTTGATAACTAAAGAAAATGACTATACAACTAAAAATTATATTATTTTTTATCAAAATGATCATTTCCACATTGCTTAAAAGAATCAGAAAGATCTAAATGATAGACTGTTTAAAACTTTCTCCAAAGAATCAATTTAATTAATGCTTAACACTTAAGTATTTTTTATTCTCAGTACTTTTTTTATTCTAAAGCTTCCAGGGCAGTAAGAGAGACAAAAGTATTAAAACAGAGATGAATGGGTTTGTTTGGTTTTTTTTAAAGATTTGTTTATTTGTACACACAGAACTGGAGTACAGGCCAGAGGCTCAGGGGCAGCGAGAGGCTTCACCAGAGACAGAGTGGGGGAGCAGAACAGGCAGATCTATGAAGTACACTGCTGAGAGGAGCAGCAGGCCGGGTCAGGAGAGTTCTGCTGCACCATGTGGTTATCTCCAGGGCAGGTGGGAATCGAACTCATGCAGAAGTGGCTTTTAGCTTCTTAGTGTTGTGCTTTAACCCGCTGTGCCACCAGGGAGGGCCCCATGAGTGGATTTTTGAGAGACAGAGTAGAGAGCAGAGAAGATGCATTTCTCTGAAATACACTGGAAGGGAAACAATGGGTGAAAGGAAATGTCTGCTGCACTGTATGTGCATATGCAGAGAATGGAACTCAGCTCCCTGGACAAGGATGGAACTCAAGTTGGAGCAGTGACAGAACTCAGATTTAACCCTTAGGCCACCAAGGAGGCCTAGAACAATTTGATTATTGACATCACACTGTAAATATATAATTTTATCCTTTTTTTTCTACTTTTGGGGGTATTGGGGGGTATTTTTAACTAAAAAACTGTAAGACATTTTTGAATATGAAAATATTTAACAAACCCAATTCCAGATGTTATTTGAGATTATGGTGTAAAAGTGTGATGACTCAAATTACAAATGTATTTTCTTTATTATCAAGAAGAATTCCCAGGTGAGCTACTCCTCTATGGAAAATATAAAGAATTCTTACAATGCAATAAAAAGACAAACCAATAAAAACTGGAAAAAGTATCTAGATAGATAAGAAAATGTACACATGTACAATAAGCACATAAAAGGATGTTGAGTATTATTAGTCATTTGGAAAACCCAAATCAAAACACAGAGAGGTGCTAACTCACACCAGGATGTCTATAATCAAAATGACAGATAATCACATGTTAGAGAGAGCATGGAGAGAATAGAATCTTTATATATTACTGGCGGATATGTAAAATTGTTTAGCTACTGTGAAAAACAGTTTGGTAGTGACTCAAAAGCCAAACTGAATGGCTCGGAAAGTCCATTCTCCAGTATATAACCACAAAAAGACATAATATCTACACACACACATACACACACACACACAATTGTACAGGAATGGTTGAGTATATTTATAGTAGCCAGAAGTAAACAAGAGAAAATAATAGAAATTCATTCATTCCATGATTTAGACTACAAAACATAATAAGGAAAATGTTATTTCTGTAAGTAAAGGCAGTATGAAACCCAAAAAAAGTGAGTATGTGGTGACTTAAAAAAAGAAATTCTTCCAAATCGAGCTGTATATGGTTAGTGGGAAATGGCATGCCAGTTTATTTCCTACTATTCACTGTTCAAGTAATGACTAAAGTTCAAAATCCTTGAGTGGAATGATTTTTAAAGTAAAGTAAGATAGTCATGAATGTGATCTTTAAAGTGAGTAATTCACTGATGCTAATTTATAAAATTTCGTCAAGCTGGACACCTGTGGTTTGATCACTTCTGTGTGCATATTTATAATTCAATAAAAGGAGCAACACAGAGATAGACTTTTACCTGGAAGTTAGGCATAAAGTATCCTGAAGAGAGAAAGACATAAAGTGAAACACAGCAAAGCAAACTACAGCAATAGAGTTTGAGGACTCCGGTGCTATAGTTGACAGGGAAAATGAAGATGAGAGAGTAGTGAATGATTCAGGGACAAAAGAGAAGTAAACAATCCAATGACATCTTCAAGGCTTTAATAAGAAATGAGACAATATTATGTGAATATGAAACAACTTTAAAGACAATATATTAATTCCAGCAGAACTTAAATGCTTAGGTAAAA